TCATCGAGAGCAAATAAACACCGATTGATGTCAATGTCCAGCGCTGAGCCGCTGATCAGCACCGGGAAGATCGGGATGTGCGAAGCGACACACCGCAGATCCCTCACGTAGAGCCCAGGCAGCTATCTTTCGATCCATCTATCAAGTTCACATGTTATAAATTATTTTATTACCCTGCGCACCAATACTCGCAGAAGCAGCGGCAGCCGCCATTTATTGACGAATTGGAGAGAAGAAGCAGGATAGATAGATCGGTGGTCCAACGCACGGGGGATAGTGATAGATGGACCAAAATGGATGCGAGCCCTCCACGCGCCCCCCCAAACCGTGGATAGACCCCTCACATTGAGCCATCTTTGTGCTTTGTTGAGCGCGCATCCACACACACACACACATGATTCAAGAAAACGGAAATGGCGAAAATAGGCGGTTATAAAACGTTGATTACTGTTATAAAAAAAAAGACGGGATTTCTTTTGCCCCGTTTTCGCGATGTGATGCTCTTCAACTTGGAGTGGCTCGTTTTTTATTTTTTTATTTCGAGATCCAAGATGTTGATGGCCAGGCCAGCGGAGAGCAGTAGCATTTGTGCCATTTGACGATTGCTACGTTCGTCGATCGTCATGTTCGGCATGTTACACACAAGTTGATTAAATTGTAGATTTAGATGTTGGTTTCGTAAAGTAGCGGATTGGTTTCCGGTGGCGGCTTGATTGCCGAAGGATGCCATAGTGGAAAAGATGAAACACTAGCACGGGAGCGATAGTGACTTTGCGAACACGTGGTTGACCCAGGACAGGATTGAGATGGTGACGTAAGGTTCACATTTTCCTTCGGATGCGCGTTTGGGGATTAGCTTTTGTAAACAAACCCATCGAGTGCCTATTTCTCACGAATAAAAGCTCAATCTCAGAAAAAAACTATATCAAATGGTAAAGGAATCATTTCTCGATCTGATTGTATTGTTAGTATCTTATCTATCTTTTCTCGTGCTTCTAGAAGAAAAAATCTCAAAATAATGTTTTATTTCAAAGTTCGAGTTGTAGTAAACGTCATTTTAACTGCTCGAATGAAGTGGTTAACTACATCCAAATCACCAATCGCTCCGAAAATTTTATTTCTTAACATGAATGTTCACTAACCGCAAAACGGGGCAACATGACGACATTTCCAAGTTGATTAGATATATTGTCATGACATTTCGCGTGACTTGTCAACCATTGATTATCATTCCTGTAAAACAGGCCTGGCCAACCTTTCTTAACTTGTTTTTTTTAATGGCTGTATCTATGGGTAAATGGGTTCAGTAAAATAACTCTTTGCTGGCATTCAGTACATATTGATAGTTTTAGCACAGACAAACAGACATAATACTCTCAAGTTGTTCATCGAACAAGCATTTAACCAGACCCCCTTCACTCTTTGCAGTGTTGGAAAAGTTCGCGATATTTCACGAAGTTCACCAAGAGAAAAGTTCGCGAGTCATAGGGAACTTTGATGAACTTTTCCATCACTGACTCTTTGGAATTTATAGAGACAGATAACAGCGCCAAACGGTTTTCGACGAGACCACGTTGAACTGCTGCGTTGGAAGAAAACACGCACACCAACATCTATACATGTACGAACCCGCACATCTGAGCGGACGGTACAGCGCAAATCAAAACACGAAGCGGTGTCATCACTCATCGTAATCATTCAGCTTCGGCTACTTCCGTTTGCGTTTGTTTTCACCGGTTTCCTACGTTATAAAATAGAAAAGTAATGAGTATTCCAACGTAATTTTTGAATGAAATGCGTGCTGCGTTGGCCGAAGAATGCAGCATATTATATTACGTTTAGCAATGATTTCGATACTTTGCATTTCCAGTGGCTGGGGTGTTGGAATAATTCTTTAGAGAGAGGGAAGGGGTTTTTCCCATGTTTACTTCTATGCTTATTAAGATTACATATGTTGAAGAACAGCTCCGCAAATCATCAATAGGCTCTTTCCGTGCACCATCAATGTAGAGCGCGCTAGCCAACTTTTAAAGAAAATGTCATCCAATCCATTTGTTTACATCATAATGACGATTTTCAAAACTCAAAACATTTATTGCACAACTTGCAAATTTCCATCGGGAGTGGTCGTATTTTTCGATTATCTACAGATCTGAACTGATTTCCAGCTGAAATAACAACACATTACAAATCCGGAAGATTATAACCGCTGGGACAATTTAATAAATTTTAATTATTCTCATCAAAAATATATGGAATCACCAGCCGGATCACTGATGGATGATGATTTCAAGCACTTGCGGTGGATAAATAAATAAGGAAAGGTGAAAATATTGTCCTCTCCCTATGCTTCTCGGTGAAAATTTCCACCCTCATCACTCTTTTGAGGGTTCCCCTATTTACTGCCAAAGGCTGAAACAATTGCTTAGTTTCTATTGGATTCGCCTATTACTGTTAGAGATTTGCATCTTACTGATACCGGTGGTACATTGGAAATTCTTTCGCTCGAAAGCAAAACATATTACAAGCACATCATGATGCGCGCTTGGAAGTGATTATCTTATCTTCTCAAATGTTTCTGTTGCGTATAAAGTGGTAATGATTGAAAATCGAAGTAATCACAAACAAGTAAGAATCTTGCTATCGCAATATAATGATGATGACTTCGAGGATGATATCATGTCGTCCTCTTCCCTCGGCTCATCATCAACGTCCGCGTTGACATCTGTCATGCTGGTACCTGTCAGTTATTGAGCCCTGGTGGTAAAGTTGGTGGGGAATTCGCAACAGTTTCAATGTGCACTCAACAGATAGCACTGCGATCACATAAGGGTGGTAACTATGTATATGCCTTGTATGAGGTATTGATTAGTGGGATATCTTGTTATTAGATATCTTTGATTTAACGGTCAATTTAAAAGTACCGTAGTTGATAGTACCGCCACCTGTGGCACGCATAGTCATTTCCCTTGAGTTTGACGTTTACACACTACCACCAACAATCAATACGAAACTAACGATTTTAAATTGGCTCACCACTTTAGTAGCCTATTGGTCCCAAGCAAACGATTAACGTACCCTATTCTAGTTGAAATTTTATTACTACACTATGTTTGTTTTGATTCGCTATGAAAGTTTGACAGATAACATCAGGGGTGTGTGGATTCATGCAGAACATGCAGGGGTGAGTGAAATAGCTTGGGCCTGCTTGGGACCGTTGTTCTGGTACTGAGTGAGCCAAAAATAATAATGATTTTCTTCGGGACCCAGTGGTCTTATAGTTACCTCTATGGTACTACCGTACTACCAACAATCAATACGAAACTAACGATTTTAAATTGGCTCACTACTTGACTAGCCTATTGGTCCCAAGCAAACGATTAACGTATCCCATTCTAGTCGAAATTCTAGTACTACGCAATGTTTGTTTTGATTCGCTATGAAAGTTTGACAGATAAAACGAGGGGTTCGTGGATTTTCCTATGTTTTGAGGGGTGCATCGATTAGCTTGGGACCGAAGATAGTACCAGAGCTGAGCCAAAAACTAGAGCACGTTTCTTCAGGACCTTCTAGTCTTAGAGTTACCTCTATGGTACTACCATAGAGGTAACTCTAAGACTAGAAGGTCCCAAAATAACGTGCTCAACTTTTTGGCTCAACTCTGGTACTCTCTTAGGTCCCAAGCTAATCGATTCACCCCTCGAAACATAGGAAAAACCAATAACCCCTCATTTTATCTGTCAAACTTTCATAGCGAATCAAAACAAACATTGCGTAGTAGTAGAATTTCGACTAGAATGGGGTACGTTAATCGTTTGCTTGGGACCAATAGGCTAGTCAAGTAGTGAGTCAATTTAAAATCGTTAGTTTCATATTGATTGTTGGTACTACCCATCACAGTGTACTCAAAAGATGGCGGTAATGTTTTAGCGACGATGATTGTGAGAAATTTTCAATGTGTTACGCAGTTTGTCTGTGGTTTTAGCAGTGCCAAAATTCAGTAAAATATACAAAAATGTCTGATTATTTACCGATGATCAGTAAGCCTACTTCCTGTCAACTTAACTAGATGACAGATCACGCAAACCTGTCTACGCTATCTGGCACCAAATTTCAACTTTGTCATAGACTTCTCTGAAGTTTATGAATTGCACAAGTATTAGTGCAGAACTTTGGGTGAATTCAAAGGTTTTCTTGCACTAAAACTTATAATTTACCCCAAGTTCTGCACTAATACTTGTGCATTTCACAAACGTCAGAGAAGTCTATTGTGTTACCGTTTGTAACTTTGTTGATGTATTTCTGTATGTTTATCGTATTCTGCATGTCCATTTAAATTTGAATAATAATTGCCAATTTGATACCCCTAGTTTTAGTACACTATACACTACCACAGTTACTACCAACTGCTGGAATAGGTGATGAGCCAACAAATTGAGTTCAGTGGAACATAGGAGAATGGGTACGAGAAGTACAGAGAAAGGGAACGGCGAGTAGCACGGAAACTTCTTCCGCCACTTGCCAAGTAAACTCAAACAAGAGCAGTTGCATAAGCTAAAATCCGTTAAAAGTTTAGTGAAGAAGAGTAAGAGTGTCGTAGTAGCAGTAGTGGATAGAGAGAGAGAGAGAGAGTCAGGTATGAAACAGGGATTAAAGAAGGTCACATGTGACAATCGGGCCTAAGACCGTTTCTTTTGTGCCCTTTAGGACCCGTTAGTTGTGAGGGTAGCTTTTGGTGGAGAACTGGCCTCTCGACGATACCGAGATTGGACTCGGTAAGATTAGGATTTGGGTTCCACCCCAAATGGTACCGAGCAGGTCTCCACACACTCGTGAAATCCAAGTCTGCCATCTCCAAGCCTGGAACCACAGACTCTCAGCATAGCCAACATTTGTTCGCCAGAGTCCGCCATTGTGCTAACCGACCGGCGTCGCCAGACGGTTTCACCGAGTCTTCATCAGCCTCACTGTTTCCCGCCAAGGTTCATTCTTGCTTAAAGCAAACCCCACACGCATCAATATATTGACGCGAAGGGGAATTATTGACAATAATATTGATGATGTGAATTCAGAAATATTGTCAATCTCGATATATTGACGTCAATATAGAATGTATTGACAATACGATTATTGTCAATAAAAGCAATCGTGTAGGGTCCACTTTAGAGTACGGCAGTATGAAAATTGAATAGAAGTTGAAAATGAGCGAAGGGCCTATCTACCTATCCACCTACTCTCTTCTAAAGATCATTCTCTAGCTAATAAATTATCACACTAAAGCTTCATGTTAGCATTTCCAACCAACTCTGAAAATCGCTAACTTCACGTATGACGTAACATAAAAACACTTTGAATGTAATAAAATCTTTTGTTTTTATAGGTTTCATTAGCAGAATGTAGACGACAAAAACTAACATGTTCCAGCGAGAGGGATGACATTGTAACACATTGTGACACAGAGTTTAGATTACCGAAGTCGGTAAAGTTTTACTGGGTTTTTAAATAGCTGAGATTTCAGTATTCAGTTATTCATCTATCGCAATAAAGGGTGTCCACGATGAAATTGCCACACTATGAAATTGCTCTAACTTTTTAACCGTTGGGTAGAATTTAATGAAAATTTGGGTGGATTTAGTTCATAGTGCATTATTTACATCCTGCAAGTTTTAAAGTCCTGTGATCAAAACTCGCGGAAATGGAGTCGAAAGAACAGCTCGTGCGAGATAAAATCTTGCGCATTCATCACGAGAACAAGGATCTCTCGCATCGTTCCATCGCTAAAACGTTGGGAATCGCGAATTCCACGGTGTCGCGAGTGATTAAGCGGTTCGAGGAACGGTTGACCACCGATCGGAAGCCCAGAAGTGAAGGAAAAAGTATTCCGTACAACACCAAAAATCACAACCGCGTAGTTGGGGCCTTCAACCGAAATCCGAACGCCTCCGTTAGGGATGTGGCTAAGAAGCTGCACCTAAGCCGAAGTTTTGTCCAGAAGGCCAAACTAAGGCTGGGCTTCAAACGTTCAAGGTACAAAAGGCCCCTAATCGCGACGAGAAGCAGAACAAGTCCGCCAAAACCCGTGCCAGGAAGTTGTACCTCAACATGCTGACGAAAGTTGAATGCTGCATCATGGACGACGAAACATATGTGAAGGCCGACTTCAAACAGATCCCCGGCAACCTGTTTTTCACGGCCAAGGATAAGTTCAGCGTTCCGGAGCATGTCCGCACTCAGAAGATGTCCAAATTTGCGAAGAAATTCCTGGTTTGGCAAGCCATCTGCACGTGCGGGAAGCGGAGTGCACCTTTCGTGACCCAGGACACGATGAACGGACAGGTGTACATAAAAGAGTGCCTCCAGAAGCGGCTGCTTCCTCTCCTGAAGGCCCACAACGTCCCAACAATCTTCTGGCCGGATTTGGCCTCATGCCACTACTCCAAGGACGTGCTGAAGTGGTATGCGGACAATAAGGTCATTTTCGTGCCGAAAATGTTCAACCCTCCCAACACTCCGGAGATCCGCCCCATCGAGAAGTACTGGGCGATTATGAAGCAGCACCTTCTTAAACGACCTAAGGTAGTGAAGACAGTCGAGGAACTGAAGAAAGTATGGGTTTACATGCAAAAAAACGGTTGATTCACAGGTTGTGCAGAATCTTATGGCCGGGGTTAAGGCCAAGGTGCGGGCATTTATTGCTTTGTTTTTCTTTCTGTGATTATTTGACATGTAATTTTACTATTATTATTTTTATGATTAGTATTATTAACATCATTTGGGCTACAGCCAGCCTGTTGATGTATGGCAACAATAAACAATAAACAATAAACAATTTGCGTATGGACTGTAAATAAAATACGAGTAAAATGGTAAAATGAAGTTTAATAGTTATTTCTCAATCCCTGAAAATTTGATGGCAATCGGATGAAAACTCGAATTTTGCGAATCAATTTTGTGTGTGGCAATTTCATCGTGGACACCCTTTAGTTGTTTGACTTCTGAGTTTGAACATCCTTCTGATAGAGTTTCCGCATATAATCCAACAACTTTAATCGATTTGGTTAACCCCCGCTTGGGCAATTGAGCAAGGCCAGAAGTCAACACATATTACTGTTACCTCCCAAGTAACATTTTAAGTTTTATGAAATACTACATAGCAACTATAAAACAACATTCATAAAACCCTGGTCAAGGCTATTTTGTCATTAATGCATCCACCAAAACCTCATTAAGACTAGAATATATCTAGTTGGCCCACCCTGGAGAAGGCTCTGAAGGGTGTATTCTCGAAGCTCTTCAAGATTGATTTACTGCAAAATCCTTCATTTATCGGCTGGTGGGCCTACCAAACCTTTAAATCGATTTATCTCCGTAAATATGGCTCTAATCGCGAAAAGAGGGGTGTTCAGATGCTCGAAATTTTTATGCCCGGATTTCCCAGTATAAAATATTCCAAAATCCTTCATTTATCGGCTGGTGGGCCTGCCAAACCTTTAAATCGATTTATCTCCGTAAATATGGCTCTAATCGCGAAAAGAGGGGTGTTCAGATGCTCGAAATTTTTATGCCCGGATTTCCCAGTATAAAATATTCCAAAATCCTTCATTTATCGGCTGGTGGGCCTGCCAAACCTTTAAATCGATTTATCTCCGTAAATATGGCTCTAATCGCGAAAAGAGGGGTGTTCAGATGCTCGAAATTTGTATACTCCGATTTCCCAGTATAAAATATTCCAAAATCCTTGATTTATCGGCTGGTGGGCCTACCAAACCTTTAAATCGATTTATCTCCGTAAATATGGCTCTAATCGCGAAAAGAGGGGTGTTCAGATGCTCGAAATTTTTATGCTCGGATTTCCCAGTATAAAATATTCAGAAATCCTTGATTTATCGGCTGGTGGGCCTGCCAAACCTTTAAATCGATTTATCTCCGTAAATATGGCTCTAATCGCGAAAAGAGGGGTGTTCAGATGCTCGAAATTTTTATGCCCGGATTTCCCAGTATAAAATATTCAGAAATCCTTGATTTATCTGCTGGTGGGCCTACCAAACCTTTAAATCGATTTATCTCCGTAAATATGGCTCTAATCGCGAAAAGAGGGGTGTTCAGATGCTCGAAATTTTTATACTCGGATTTCCCAGTATAAAATATTCCAAAATCCTTCATTTATCGGCTGGTGGGCCTACCAAACCTTTAAATCGATTTATCTCCGTAAATATGGCTCTAATCGCGAAAAGAGGGGTGTTCAGATGCTCGAAATTTTCATACCCGGATTTCCCAGAATAAATTATTTCAAAATCCTTCATTTATCGGCTGGTGGGCCTACCAAACCTTTAAATCGATTTATCTCCGTAAATATGGCTCTAATCGCGAAAAGAGGGGTGTTCAGATGCTCGAAATTTTTATGCCCGGATTTCCCAGTATAAAATATTCCAAAATCCTTGATTTATCGGCTGGTGGGCCTGCCAAACCTTTAAATCGATTTATCTCCGTAAATATGGCTCTAATCGCGAAAAGAGGGGTGTTCAGATGCTCGAAATTTGTATACTCCGATTTCCCAGTATAAAATATTCCAAAATCCTTCATTTATCGGCTGGTGGGCCTACCAAACCTTTAAATCGATTTATCTCCGTAAATATGGCTCTAATCGCGAAAAGAGGGGTGTTCAGATGCTCGAAATTTTTATACTCGGATTTCCCAGTATAAAATATTCCAAAATCCTTCATTTATCGGCTGGTGGGCCTACCAAACCTTTAAATCGATTTATCTCCGTAAATATGGCTCTAACCGCGAAAAGAGGGGTGTTCAGATGCTCGAAATTTTCATACCCGGATTTCCCAGAATAAATTATTTCAAAATCCTTCATTTATCGGCTGGTGGGCCTACCAAACCTTTAAATCGATTTATCTCCGTAAATATGGCTCTAATCGCGAAAAGAGGGGTGTTCAGATGCTCGAAATTTTTATACTCGGATTTCCTAGTATAAAATATTCCAAAATCCTTCATTTATCGGCTGGTGGGCCTACCAAACCTTTAAATCGATTTATCTCCGTAAATATGGCTCTAATCGCGAAAAGAGGGGTGTTCAGATGCTCGAAATTTTTATACTCGGATTTCCCAGTATAAAATATTCCAAAATCCTTGATTTATCGGCTGGTGGGCCTGCCAAACCTTTAAATCGATTTATCTCCGTAAATATGGCTCTAATCGCGAAAAGAGGGGTGTTCAGATGCTCGAAATTTGTATACTCCGATTTCCCAGTATAAAATATTCCAAAATCCTTCATTTATCGGCTGGTGGGCCTACCAAACCTTTAAATCGATTTATCTCCGTAAATATGGCTCTAATCGCGAAAAGAGGGGTGTTCAGATGCTCGAAATTTTCATACCCGGATTTCCCAGAATAAATTATTTCAAAATCCTTCATTTATCGGCTGGTGGGCCTACCAAACCTTTAAATCGATTTATCTCCGTAAATATGGCTCTAATCGCGAAAAGAGGGGTGTTCAGATGCTCGAAATTTTTATACTCGGATTTCCCAGTATAAAATATTCCAAAATCCTTGATTTATCGGCTGGTGGGCCTACCAAACCTTTAAATCGATTTATCTCCGTAAATATGGCTCTAATCGCGAAAAGAGGGGTGTTCAGATGCTCGAAATTTTTATACTCGGATTTCCCAGTATAAAATATTCCAAAATCCTTCATTTATCGGCTGGTGGGCCTACCAAACCTTTAAATCGATTTATCTCCGTAAATATGGCTCTAACCGCGAAAAGAGGGGTGTTCAGATGCTCGAAATTTTCATACCCGGATTTCCCAGAATAAATTATTTCAAAATCCTTCATTTATCGGCTGGTGGGCCTACCAAACCTTTAAATCGATTTATCTCCGTAAATATGGCTCTAACCGCGAAAAGAGGGGTGTTCAGATGCTCGAAATTTTCATACCCGGATTTCCCAGAATAAATTATTTCAAAATCCTTCATTTATCGGCTGGTGGGCCTACCAAACCTTTAAATCGATTTATCTCCGTAAATATGGCTCTAACCGCGAAAAGAGGGGTGTTCAGATGCTCGAAATTTTCATACCCGGATTTCCCAGTATAAAATATTCCAAAATCCTTCATTTATCGGCTGGTGGGCCTACCAAACCTTTAAATCGATT